ATGATGGAGTAAAATGCTCATATCATAGTTAGGCATAAATTCGATTTGTGCAGATACTTGCATGACCTGGCATAAAATATCATGGGCCTGAGCCTCAGATACGTACTCTAACATGACCATGGCTCCAACCTGAATTTTGACACTACCCCCAGCCCAGCCTTTTTTGATCCAATCTTAATCGAGCCTAGCCGCATCCAAAATAGAAGATGGAGATTTTCATGTTATGTTGCGGAAATGTGAACCACAACCCAGAGCTCGGCTGAAGATGCCTGCAGGAGTTTGCCAAAATAGCGAAGGAGCTCCGGGACCCGGCGCAAGAGGCCACGTTGGATTTTTTTTTGTGGCTGAAGCTTGTTTTGTCATGAGCCAGTGCACATGAAATGGGGTGAAATGGGGAGGAATGCTGGGTTTTTTTGCAAGCTTTGTCTTTGCCCAAGCATAGCGGCACGTGAGTTGCCGGTCTCTGGAGTCAGCTGCTGGAACTGCCTTTTGGTTGGAGGGGTGATTCAGGGTGACGGGTATATCGTCGAGGTTTTGCGAAGGGGTCCGGAACAGTTCCATCAGCTGACAACTTTATGGGCAGCAGCACCTTCCCTGGTCTTGAAGTGGGGATCGACAGTCATTCGCAGGCATGATGAAAGAGCCGGCACGAATCGATGAGCCCGATGCAGAAGATGGGCGCAAGGATGGGGGAGACGACCTTGCTGAATCAGACGTGGCCTTATCGTCCACGGAAGCTGCACCCGAAGAGCGCAATGACGCTCAGGCGGGCGGCTTGCGCCAGTGGGCGACGGTCATTCTGGGTCTTCTGGTGACTGTGCTGTTCTCGGGTCCCATCTTTGGTTGGGCGTCTTGGCAGCCGATGCTCGAGGAAGATGGCGTGTACCGTGACCTCTGCGACAGCTCCGAGCCGCTCTGTGAGGCCAGGAGTAGCCGCATGGTCCTGCTGTACACCGTCGCTTTGTCATAGTTGGGTAACATTTTACATTTTTAAGGGTACTTAAACCCAATAAGGAATATAGATTTGAATTTTTAATACTACCCCAACCATGAACTAGGTCGGCCAGATGGCAGCGACCATGGGATTGGCGGTGGTAAGCTTTGTGACAGACCGAGCCGGGCCGGTTTTCCTGGTTTTGACCGGGGGGCTGCTGGCTTCGGCAGGGCTGCTGGTCATGGGCCAGGGCGGCCAGCTCGACGGAGAAGGAAGCACCGGGCCGGCAGAGGAGGTGGACGTGCTGCAGATCGCCACGATCCTCATCGGTGCAGGAGGCGCTTGCCTGATCATGCATGCCATGAAGCTGGCCTTCCTGGTCCAACCACGCTACTTCCCCATCGTCATGACTTTCGCCAACTGCCTCGTTGATGCCTCTGCGGTGGTTCCGGTCGGCTTCTACCAAAGCTACCGCATGGGGCTGTCCCGGTCCAGCATCTTCGGATTCTACGCAGCACTCTGCCTTGGCTTGACGGCCTTACTTTCCCTGAGCTGGTGCGGCCCGCCGCTGCGGACTTTGGAGGCCTGCAATGCGGCAGGTTTAGGGTTTGGGGTTTAGGGTGTAGGGTTTAGGGTTTAGGGTTTAGGGTTTAGGGTTTTAGGGTTTTAGGGTTTAGGGTCTTTGGAGGCCTGCAATGCGGCAGAGCTGCGGGCTGGGGAGGAGGTCGAGGCCGGCTCCTCCAAGCACCCGAGGCTTCACGGTCTTTCGGTGAAGCGCCAATGTGCCAGTTTAGAGTTCCTTGGTAGCTGAGTGAGTACACTTTACACTTTGTGGGGATAATATGATCCCTTGTAGAACTGAAAGTGTACACTTTTTGGGGCTTATGAACTCAGCAACTGAGGTTCGCCTTCATCATGGTGGTCTTCACGACGCAAGTCTTTACTTCAAACAGCTACTTGGGCTATAACAAACTCTTGCTCGAGACCCTTGGTGATGCGGAGACGGACTATGCTTACGTTCAAATCTTCACGGCTCTGCTCCCTGCCTCTGCCCTGCTTGCACCACTGTACAGCTTGCTTCTTTCCAAGAAAGGTTTTGCAGCGACCTTTTTTGTCGTGATCTTTCTCAACATTACATGGAACACCGTGGCTCTTGTGCCATCCCTCCAGCTGCAGCTTATGGGCTTTATCGCCTTCACGAACTTCCGAGCCTTGCTTTTTTCGACGGCCTTTTCCTTTCTTGGGCACACGTTCGGGAATCGGACGTTTGGCACCATCAACGGATTATGCTCGCTGGTGACCGGGGGCCTCTCCTTCCTAATTTGGCCATGCACAGACCTCTCGCAGCGCTTCTTCGGAAGCGTCTCGGCCATGAGCGTCCTCCTCCTAGCTCTGTGCTTGCCGCTGATCCTGCTGAACTTCCGCTTGGCACAGTTCCTTCGGAAGTATCCTGCAGGAGACGTGCGCTCACAATGAGCACTGCATAGCACTTCATATGAGCAACTGTGCGCTTGCCGCTGATCCTGCTGAACTTCCGCTTGGCACAGTTCCTTCGGAAGGACCCTGCAGGAGACGTGCGCTCACAATGAGCACTGCATAGCACTTCATATGAGCCAAAGCGCTGCTAATCCAGTCTTGCCTCAGGTGGCCGGCTGGCCAACACGGGCAATCGAGATGCAACCATCGACTGTCTGTTTGCGGCAAGCCTCGGCAAGCTTCCTGCTACACGTGCGACGGACGCCCCAGCCCCTTCAGCCCCTTCCTTGCGACCTGCTAAACCCCGAGAGCCTCGAGTCCTCGAGCCCGAGAGCCCTAAGCAACCTTAGTCAGCGCCTGTCAGGCGGCTGCCCTCATTGGCCTGGCGCGTGCGCGGCTCTCCCGGCTAAGAGCCATGGCCGAGTTCATCTTTTTCGATTCCTGGTGCAAGATCCTGTCTGAGATACCCTTCCCATAAATGGGGCGCACATGTCGTAGCAACTTCAGTTGCAGCAACATCATCTTCTTCTGCACTGCATTGAGTCCTACTGCAGCGAGGAGCCGTGTGGCGTCTTTTGATTTTGGGGTTTGAGGCTCCCCAGAGGCTATTGGGAACCCTAAACCCTAAACCCTAAACCCTAAACCCTAAACCCTAAACCCTAAACCCTAATTGGGTGTCTCATCCCAGCAGGGATCCTGTCCTCGGAAACTCGGAGAAGTCTGTGCTGCACGGTCTTTCTGGCATTTTGGAGTAACATTTCTCCCAAAAAAAGGAGGTCGCTGCAGGTAGGCCTGACAAAAAAGCACTACTACAAGTACCCAGAGACTCCAATAACCCTTAATCAAGGAATATACCTTAAATCATATTAAGGATCCTACTATAATTTAAGGACTATTCCTTAATTAAGGAATATTGGAGTCTCTGGGTCATGCAGGAATCGGACAATACAACTACACCGTGCCGGAGCAAGCTCTGCCGATTTTACAGAAGTTTCAGAGACCCCTGGTAAATCCACCCACCTTGCCAAAAGCTCCTTGAGTAGGAGTCCATTTGCGGGGTTTCCGAAAATAGGGGACCCTAATACCCTAAATAATAGGATCCTTATTATAAGGACCCCAAAATAAGGTACCTTAATTTTTGGAAACCCCCATTTCGACGAATCGCGATTTGGCGTTGTAGCCCCCCCTGTCTGAGTCGTGGTATAGACAGCCTGGGCATTCGTAGTCAGCTTGACTAGCTGACTGATACGAGAAAGTGTCCCAGTGCTTTCGACTGGCTGCTATGGATCTACATTGACATGTCTGCAACGTTGCAAAGAACTGCGCTGCGACTGAGCAGTTGCCGAAGGCAACAACTCGACCTAGAGGATTGTGGCAACCAAGCCCGCAAAAGCGTACATCGAGCATGGCGGCTGAGCGTGGCTGAGCAAGGGTTGTGCCTGCGCCGGGTCCCGAATCCAACATCGTGTCCATAGCATCTTGATAAGGCGACAGGTTTTGACCGTTTGTTGCAAGAAGGTTTCCTGTGTGGCTCCATGCCTGGGTCTAGTGTCTAGTGTAATCTAGGTTAGTGCGTTCAGTGATTGGACTAGGTGCAGGCGCGGATTCGCTTCGATACTCTCAATTCGTCAACCCGCAGCTGCTGTTATCTTAGAGGGTTGAAATGTTGACCTTGCAGGAGCAGTCATGCTTCCCCGCATCTTCTGCTTGAAGCCCACGCAGAATGCAGAAGTGCGTCTTGCTGTAAGCAGATGGTTGACGCACTCCGATCTTCGTGACTGACAGGTGTCGATCGAAAAGCACGATGGAAGCACTTTTTACAAGGTTCATTCAGTGCCGTAAGCATGGCTGCAGCCATGGCTGCCACAATGCGACCGCTGGCCAGGCATCTTTCAGCAACATGACTGACTTTTTTTGCTCCTTTAAGCTTTTCTTTAACAGATCTGCCGAGCACTTAAACATGCATTCAGGCCTGCAAGTGGGCCGTTGTCCCCATCTCGGACGCAGTGAGGGGCACGAGTTGCACGATCAGCAGAGGGCTTATAGCTGTGAGGTACGTTGGCGAACAGCGCCGGTCACGGTCGTCGGTGCCAGAGGTGCCGTGAAGCAGACTCGCGGAAACAGGAAGCAAGCCTCTAACCGCGGACCATTCACAAGCGACGTAGTTTCTGTCCGTGGCAGTATCAACTCGGCACTTGACTCAGCACACAGTCGCAAATGTCAATGCCTCAGGCACCAGTCAACACGATGCCTGCTGTCGTGGACGAGGAGCTATGACCTACCCTGAATCAGAGTGTAATGCTGCAGGCGCAAAGTGTAGCACACATCAGGCTTGAGGCAGCGCGACACGACATGTCCTGCGAACACTGGTGGTCGTGACCCGCAGGTTCAAGCAGCAAGTAGCTGGCCCACCAAGCAGAAACAGAATGCAACAGTTCGGGGCCTGTACAAAGTCAAGACAGGCAGCTGCCAGTTCTGAACCAACGAGCAGTGAGCGAGCAAACAGCTCATTCGAAAATACTTAAACGAGGCTGCCATGTTAGCTAAGCAGATATTGCGTGAACAATCCGACATGGCTGTTGCAGCAGCAATGCGCCATTTCCCCCCGTGGTGGCTTGGAGAAATGAGTATTCACACCGATCCTAGCTGCCTAGGCTTTGAATTCCAATGTCGCCAGCCCAGATACCTGAATATCAGCCACGAGATGTCTTGAACCCCCGCTCCTCCATTGTCCAGACATACACCGATTGAGATCAAAGCAAGCTATGCGTAGTTGGGAGATGCCTGGCAGGGCAGCCCAAGACCAAGATAGGAGTTGTACAGTCGTTGGTTTGCCCAAGCTAAGCCCGAACCTTTGCCTTGTGTCCACGTTGGGTTTAGTAAGGCCCCGTAACAGGGCCACTTCAACAAGTATCGTCACAGCCTCCCTGCTTCCCGCGCTGGGAGTGACTCGTGCATGGATGTCTTTGCGACGTCACGTAAGGCCATCGACCACCTCAAGCCACAGCCGAGCGCAGGCTGTGCTGCATCCATGATTGTGAATCGAGCAGCAGCTCGCTGCGTTGCGGAAGAGCTCAAGAGCTGCCTATGAATGTTCCTCAAGCCTCACCAACTTGGTAGGTACCACGCGATGACCTCTTAGCCGACCCGGCTGCGGTTGCGCCGGGCACTTGGTGGAGCGAAATTGCAGATGATGTTTCCTGCGACATGATTACCCACTCTTTGTTGTGGTCGTGTTTGCTCAAGCTTTGAAACGGAGCCGGGGAGCGATGATTAGGACATATCATAAGTCGGTGAAGTCGGGCCAAGATGGTCTGGTTAGTTGTGTGCACTTTCTGATAGTGAGGAATGGATTCCGCGTTCTTCCTGAAAGCAGCTCGATCGAGATAGAGGCGGGAAAATGATCAACGTCAGGAAAGTGGTAAAGCGTACTCCTGTCCGACTGCACATCCCCGCTCGCGATCAACGCTTTGTCAGGAGCACAACGTGGCAGCTTTCTCGTTACCACAGGCAGCGGCAGACGGAAGGTGCTGACATGGCTTCGATTGAGCACCACTCAACGGCAGGAGGTGCTTTCCTTTCATCCTGACGATCAAGCCGTGTTCGCACGATTTGCAAATGGCGACTGCGAGAGGCAATCCCGAAGTGTGCAAGCCTGTCTCAAGTGTCTCTTCGACAATGTGGTTCGCACATTTCTAGAACTACCAGCTGGTGTGTCGAGTGGATGCTGCACGGGCAATTTCCATCATCAATGTGTCGTGCGACGGCCTGGGTTCATGTGCAGGAAGCTGCACTGCAACATTGAGTTGAATCATGACGAGTTGGAGGCAGATTCTCGCGGAAGTCGTTGTCGTTCGTCAGATGCAGCCAAATGCTAAAAATCTTAGTCTTACTTTGCTTCTTGAGAGGCGCTGCGTCTTCTACAGGCACGGAATGCGAGTGTCGCGTCCACGCAATCAATAAGCCGAGTGTGACTTGGGAAGCCAATGGCGACGTGTTGTTTTGAGGCATAATTGAGACCTTAAACCCTAATCCCTAAACCCTAAACCCTAAACCCTAAACAGTGCTCATTCTTGCACATTCTTGGCTCTGTCATGACGAACTTTGCAGTCCACTGCCACTGTGTCGAATGCACGAACCCAGAGAGCCCAATACCCCTTTTAAGGAATATACCTTAAATTATAGGGGCCTTAATACTGTGATTTAAGGTATATTCCTTAATCAAGGGGTATTGAGCTCTCTGGGAAGTGGTGCGGTCTTTGCTTTGTGAGCGGCCAGGAAGAGGCACGGGCGCATCGTGTGGCACTCCCTGTTTCCATATCTGTTGGGAGCTTAGTATGGGAAGTGACACATATTATGCCACTGGCTGTGTATCTGCAGACAACATACGTGCATGTTTCGTAACCGTGCTATGTGGCGGTACCGTTTTGTCCTGTTCAGGCCTCCGCCACGCGGTATCTTAGCCGGTGCCCCAATATTGCGCAAGCTACTTCTCCAACCTGCGGTTTCATCGGCGCGCAATCGAAAGCTTCCGTTGAGGCCATTCTCACGGAGACCCCAAGAAGGCGCTGAAGATGATGGAGGCAAGGGAAGCACCGCAGGTTTTCCATATTTTCCCATATTCCCAGCTCTGGAAGATTTGATCCGGAAGGCCACCACAGAGTGGCGCAGCTCCTTCTTCACTCGGCCCCAGATCTCGGAGTTATGCGGGCTTCTCTCGTGAAGCGGCTACAGATCTTGGCTTCTAAGGCCGCTCTCTGATGCGGACATGGCAGAGGACAGTCGTCCCATCCGGCATTCTCCCCTAGAGCTCTAGAGGCTGAGGTGCTCTTCTTTTCGTCCTTCAGGACCTCAAGTTAGGTCTGGCGTACTTCACCGGCCGAGACAAGGACTGCTAGCAGTTGGAGCTCCGCCGTTGCTTTATTGCTGCTGACTCGCACTCAGGCCCTTCGTCCAGTGCTCGTTTTTCGGGCCGCGCGCATACCAGCTGCGTGGTGGGAGCCTTGAAGTGCACTACCCCTTTGCCTGTACAACTTTGAAGACTCAGGCATAGAGAGAGGCGCTACGATCAAGTCATTAGAGCCTTGTCCTCAGCATCGTGTCTATTCTCCTGTGTCTCCGAAAGCTGTGGTCACTGCTCCCCCCGACCGAGGTCCTGGTCTTTTGCATGGAGTTGGGATCTTGGCTTGTCCGGCACTTGTGTGTCCTCCGTGCCGCCGGCCATGTGTCAGGTATTTCCTTCGGTATATGGCAGCCATGACCTTGGGTTTCTCTTGCCGAAACCTGTCGTCCAGTTCTTCGACTTCGATAGATGAGGTCCCGGGGAAGATCGAGAGCCTGAACGTGGTCATAGATCTGAAGGAGAGCCCAAAGTCAGCAGAGTAGGCTGGCCGTAGGCTGACATGGAATGGAATGGAGGGGCCCCTGGCAGCCGAAGAGTTGCTAAGAGAGGATGATCTGCACTTTTTCATCTTTCTGCCCACAAAGCCAGTCCCGACGCCAGGACTTGTCCCTCTCCCAGATTCCTATTGGAGTGCTTCGAGAAGTCCATAGGCCCGGTGTGTTTCAGCAGAGCTGAAAGCAGTGCATCTGGGGCCATGCCAGGAGCATGGGAATGTACTATGTCGGTGCGCCCCCTCCGGTGTGTCTCGTGAAGCCCCGCGGCCAACAGTTCGTGTGCTTCAGGTCGCATTTTCCGGTTCTACATTTGCAACATGTGCCGTGCTCAGTGAGAGTCTGGGAGCTCCTTGGAGTGCTACGGGCTCGCTTGCCGCAGGCCTCGGATTTTGGGAACCTTGGTCCCGCTTGCGAAGAAGGCCAAGCCGCTAAGCCTTCAAAGCTTAGCCCTAATCGGCCCCGTCCTTCTTTCTATTTTGCTTGGTCTACAGGTGCTCACCGAGCGCCAGCGACAAAAATTGGTCTTCGTTTGCAGGCCCGAGCTCGGGCGTAGGCGGCTATCAAGGCAAGGCCACCACACTCCACACTTCTGCAGGCCAGAGGACATCACGAAGGATATGGCAGAGAGGCCTGGGGCAAGTGACCCTCTGTCGGCCAGCCACGGAACTTTGGTCGATTCGCGGTTGTCGCATCGCAGGCAGATCGAGGAAGACCTCGGCGGGTCACGGCCGCTGTTGAAGGCCTGCGTCAGCATCTCTGGTGGGATTCCGTGTGCAAGCTGACATGAAGCGATGCCTGCGTGCCTTTCGTCGAGCACAGGAGTTCTTCCCTTTCCCTCTCCTGCCGGGCCCGTTCGAGCCCAACATGCCTCCATCGCCGAGGCTCGGACCTGAGGCCTTTTAGCTTTCAGCTGCCCTTCTGCTAATTAGGATGCAGAAGCTTGTCAGCGTCTGAGGTCCTTGCAAGAAGCAGTCCCAGGACCGCCGTCTGTCTTTAGAGCTTTCAAAGCAAGCTTTCTTGGCTTCCCAGAGACTCCAATATC